TCTGATCATCCATTGATGATTTTTACCCAAAATACTTATTGTAACAGTACAGAATGGTGATTTTTGTCATTCGATAATTTCTTCTATGTTTATTAGTTGGAAGAAATTATCCAACTAATTGGATAATTTAATTGTAAGTGCTTTTGCTTCTTTCCCTATTATTCATTCATTTATTCATATCAGTATGGACTCATGGATTCTTACTGTCTGGTTGTAATCCATTATCTTTATTATTTATTTTACTGTTCACATTTTCCCTGATTTGGTGAGCCCGAGTCCTTTCAGGCTGGCTCCTGTGTCCTTTTGACATGCTTCCACCGCTCTCTGAGTGCTTCTTTACTTTTTTTTTTTAGAAAAGCACAGCAAGATATTATCTTATCTTATACTTTTTCACCCTTAGCCCTAAAACCAGCTGTTTTCCCAAGAAGCTTACTTCTTTATAGTGGAGAATGAAAAGACAAAATCTTGACAAACCAATATCTAGGTGTAAATATGTGCATTAAAATTTTTGGAGGACCTGTTGTGAATGATTTCCTGTTCCATAAAAAGGACTCATGATAGACATACTGGTTTCTATTGAATCTTTGCTTTAAATTACAATTGAAATTCCATTCATAATTTTTATACTTCGGTAGTGTGGAGGCATACTTCTCAACCTGATATACTTGTATACAAGTTCATAATGCATCTGAAAAATCCATAAGGATTCTTTGTCAATAAGGAATGAATGAATTGCACTTACCTCAATGTGGCCTTCAATTCAATTCAGAATTATTTTAGTTTAGCTATTAATGGATGTGCTGCTGAAAGAGTGATTAAAATCAAGCTGTTCAAATAAGTTGCTGTTTGCAAAACTGAATACTGTTATTGCAACACTTTATTCTTGTTCATCAGTAAATATAGTTCCTTCAGTATTCTCTTCTTTAGTGATTTGCCAGCTTTCAGCAGCTTGCAAAAAGATTAAATATGGAAGTCTTTAATTTCTGTTTTTTCAGTAAATCCAGAACTTCCAATGGGAGTATAGTATCAATTACAAATATATATTTTTTCAAACAGGGTTGAACACTGAAGGTAAAGAGCACTTGTTATGAATCCTTTCCAACTTATGTGTATATAGTGTCTCACAGAGTATGGTTCTTAACCATAATTTCCATGCTTTGAGAATGCTGGTGTAACTTCTGCAAGAGACTATTGTAGACTCCCACATTCTTGGTGACATATGCTGTCCCTATTAATTAGATTTCTGCATAACTGAAAGGAAAGGAATAGGATTTTTTGGAGTTGTACTGAAATAATTTTTTTAAAACCATGAATAGTCAACTAGAAAAACAAATTAGTTGGTTACATTTTGACTAGGTCTAACATTCAAAATAAACTACTGATAAATTTGGATGTAAAGGATTTGGAACTTGGTGTTTGTTTCTACATTATCCAGTTGATGAGTGGGCATTTCCCTAATGGGCTTCATAAGATAGTTCTGAAATATGTTACTGTATGTTTCCAGGTCCAGTCAGTTTGAAAACATGGTATGCTAACAGCTTATTTTGCAGTTTCCTAATACACATGAGCTGTAGAGAGAGGGAGTAGTTACGGGTGACTCCATTTCTTCTTTAGGCTTCATTTTGGATGGTTGTTGCCTTTCAACATGGGAATGTAGGTTTGAGTTAATGTGAAGATTAATTTGTATTAGAACTTGTACACAGTATTAGAATTTAACACAGGAGGTTAAATACACAGGTCCAGTGCTCGGGAAAGAGTTTATAGAACAGCAAACAAACATTAATTCTGGTTAGCACATCTAACTATAGTGTTTAAAAACACAATTTGTGCCCTGGCTGGTGTGGGTCAGTGGATTGTGTCCCAGCCTGAGAACCAAAGGGTTGCCAGTTGATTCCCAGTCAGGGCACACACCTGGGTTGCAGGCCAGGTCTCCCATTGAGGGCATGTGAGAGGCAACCACACATTGATGTTTCTCTCCCTCTCTCCCTCCCTTTCTCCTCTCTAAAAATAGATAAATAAAATCTTTAAAAAGAAACATAATTTGCATGAAGACTTTTATTTCTTTGCCTTTTTGGAACCATTTTGTATATTGTGGGAGTGGGAAGTGTCAGCAGAATTTAACGTGACTCCAGAGGAACATACTGTACATACATGAATTTAGGAGAAACAGCTTACTACTCAACTGGGGTGGGCTGATGTTTTTATTGATTTCTTTATTGCTCTCATATTTTAACAGAAAGTTCCTCTTGTTAAGGCAGTTACAGCATTAGAATTTACAAAATTGTACTAGTTTAAATTCAAAAGAAATATTTATCTGGTGTCTGTAAGTAACCATGTAAGCAGAAAAATATTTGCATCCATTTTATTAAGTAAATAGGAAATTACCGAGTGTCTCATGGCCTGAAATAACTCATTGAAGTTGCTAATTTCTAGTCAAGGAAGTTCAGGAAAATACATGATAGGAGGAGGGAATTAGAAGTTTGAAGATCAAGTTTTTGTTTCATCTATTTCTCCCACTTAACTAGTCATGAAATTTGAACAGACCATGTTTCTGATGCTCAGTTGAGTCATCTGGGAAATGAAAGTAACTCCGCATTTACCTCTGGGCTCACTCGTTCACTGAACGTATGCCAGGAGGCGTATGCCAGGAGGCATTGTTCTAGGGCTGTGCTACAACACTGACCTGACATACATGGTTCTCACTCTCATTGAGTTTTCAGTCTTGTGGATCACAGCAGAAAGTCCAGAAAGTGGATATAAGAGCACCATAAAGCACTATGAAAACATAATGGTTATCCTTGTTCCAAGTAAGTTTACTTACTGGAAGGTTCAGCTTCTCTTCTCATTGAGTGATAAACTGATAGAGTATGCAAATAAAAAGATATGATAGTTCTTAACAAAGATCTTATACCTTTCACAAGAATTAACTCAAAATGGATCACAGACTTAGATATAAAACTCCAGAATTAGACAAGAACATAGGAGAAAGTCTAGATGACCTATGATTACGATTTTTAAATATAAAACCAAAGGCCTGACAAATGAAATAAATAATTGATAAGCTGGATTTCATTAAAACTAAAAACTTCTGCTCTGCAAAAGATACTGTCAAAGAGAATAAGAAGACAGTCTACAGACTGGGAGAAAATATTCTCAGAAGATAATATGATGAAGGACTGGTAATCTAATTATACAAGGAACTCTTAAAAGTTAATAAGAAAACTAACAGCCTGAATAAAAAAACAGGGAAACGACCTAAACCGACACCCACAACAGAAGATACACTGGTGGCAACTAAGCATATGAAAAGATGGTCCACATTATATGTCATGAGGGAAATGCAACTTAAAGAGAGATACCACTTCACATCTATTAGAGTTGCTAAAATTCAGAACACTAACACCACCAAATGTTGGTGAGGATGTGGAGCAACAGGAACTCTCACTCATTGCTGGTACAAAATAGTACAACCACTTTGGAAGACAGTTTGGCCTCTTAAAAAATGAAACATACTCTTACCATACAGTCCAGCAGTTGTGCTACTTGTTATTTACCCAAATTAGTTGAAAATTTATGTGCACAAAAATATGCCCCCAAATGTTTATTCATAATTACTAAACACCGGAACTAACCAAGATGTCCATCAGTAGCTAAATGGATAAATGACCTGTGATACATTTAGACAGTGAGATGTTATTCAGGGATAAAATAACTTAAGCCATGAAAAAAACATGGAAGAACCTTAAATGCATAATGTTAAGTGAAATAAGCTAACCATAAAAGGCTATATCGTATGATTCCAACTATATGACATTTGAATAAAGGGAAAGCTATGGAGACAATAAAAAGATCAGTGATTGCCAGAGGTTGAATGGAGGATGGATAGGTGGAGCACAGAGGATTTTTAGGACAGTAAAACTATTCTGTATGATACTATAAATGTAGGTACATACAATTATATATATGTCAAAATCTGTAGAATGTGTGACTCCAAGAGTGAACCCTAATGTAAACTGGACTTTGTGTGGTGATGATTTGTCATTGTTGGTTCATCAGTCATAACAAATGTACCACTCGTGCTGGATGTTGATAGTGGGGGAGGCTGTGCATGTGTGGGAGCAGGGGTATAGAGGAACTCTCTACTTTTTGCTCACTTTTGCTGTGAACCTCAAACTGTGTTTAAAAAGAAAGTTTATCTTAAAAAGTGGTATCCCTCTCAGAGGAGATAGGATGCAGATGTGCTTGGTACATTCAGGGTAGGCAGTTAGTAAGTGATTGTCGAATGAATAAAGGAATGGTGTTAGGATTTGGAGATTCAACATAGATGTGATTACTGTCTTGCTTGTTAGATTTTCAGAAATGTATTAATTACACTTTAAGAAAAATAGTTGTGTCTAGCATTCACAGGAAAAGAGGTAATCCATACAGAAAAATTTAACTCAAAATTCAAAACACTGATTTTTAGAGAGTTCCAGAGGCAGTACTGTATACCTGGATTTCAAAATATGAATTAAAACAATTTAATGCCATTGGAAAGTGTTAGGCATGAGGTAAGATATCTAATGTTTTTAACTCCGAATAAGATAAAATCCTAAATTTAGAAACAAACATGATTTATTGGATTATCCTTGGAAGTAAAAGGAAAGTTTAGGTCCTAAGGTTCTATTTATACATAAAGCATGCAAAATGAGAGTAATTTTTTTTCAAAGAAGTTTAATTTAATGGGAAACAACTTGCATGATAGCTTATGTAGCAATTAAATAAAAATTCTATACTCTCTGGGGTATTTTAAAATTCTACATCTTTGGGTAAATTTCAGATAAGCTTGAACAACTCTAATAAATTTTCAAAATTTCTAAAGGCCCTTGACTGTGATACTCTTTTTATAATCATTTGCGTAAAATCCCATGTGTTGGCAGTAATCAGCATTGGTGAGACTGTGTGAAGGCCACCTCAGCAGTTCTCAACAGATGGCTTCCTCCATTCATTTTCTCCTATAGGCAAACATGCTGAAGACATATTTGGTGAGTTGTTTAATGAGGCGAACAACTTTTACATCAGAGCAAATTCTCTTCAAGACAGAATTGATCGCCTTGCTGTCAAAGTTACCCAACTGGATTCAACAGTGGAAGAGGGTAGGTAATTGCATGAGTGTATGAGCTGGAACTGATCTTGACTAGATGGTAGTAAATGATTGCAGAGCAATTACAGCTTTTTCCTTGGGGTAGTATGCTGATTTTTCATCTTGTCTGTTGCTAGAACAACAGTGAGGGACAACAGCCCACAACTTTGGGTTAATTAGTAATTAAAAGATTCATATCTTGTCTGTCTTAACATATGTTAAACTCTCTTTAAAAAAGTTACATATGTAGCATTTGTTTTCAAGGAGTCTGTGAATGCAGTCAGTATTAGAAGTCCTACTTTAGGTTATTGATGGTTATTTTAAAGATATTTCTTACCTAAAAATTACAGAATCAATCCAAGGATATGGTCCAACTAAGATGGAGGGTTATACATACCGAGTGTAACAGAGGGAAGGCCTACCCCCCATATTCTTGTTAGGGTCGATGCCTGTAAATAACTTTGGTGATTTAACGTCTCAGAAATAGCATTTACTGAAACCCTTTAGGCTTCGGAGTCTTAAAATAATGTTAATATTGGCAAACTCTGTATAGGTTATTGTAATCATGTTGATGATACACCCTGAAATGGTGGCAGTTTCAACAAAATTAAAACTCAGTTCCTTTTTTAAAATTTTACTTTCCATATCTTTTGAATGAAGGATTGAGATTAGACTGGAAAATATATCTGTAAAAGTATAAGAAATGCCATTTCATGTTGACTTTGAGAAAAATGTTCAGATTAAAAATTATATATAGTGGTAGTTACAATTTCTTTTATTGCATTAAAATGATCCTAGCATCTGATTTTTTTCTACTAGACCTATAATAGTTGTATTAGTAAAAGGTGAAGATTTTATTTTTTTTAATGTGGTTATTAACGGACTTCATCCCTTATTTAACATTTTTTCCAAAGGTCAGAATTAAACTAATGATTAGAAATTGAACAAAAATGAAGAACATTGAAAGTCTAATATCTATTACAAACATTCTTACTGATTATTCCAACAATAATGGAGGAGCTAAAGACATGCTCTTTTTTTGTCTGATTTTTAAAATTTATCTTCTTCTTTTTAAAAACTAAAATGTTAATAGCTACTTGGCTCATTCAGAGAAGGAATTTTTAACATCAAGTAAATCATTCACTTTTCAAATTGGTATCAAAGTGATTTCTTAAATATCTATCTTCCTTCAGTGTTTTCCCCCCTTGGAACTGAAATGTTTGTGATAAATTTTACACTGAAAAGGTTAACCTGTAGTTTAAATTTCATGAGATTCTATGGTATCTCCTTAGTCTCAGTTCCATTGGTTAAGTGGGTTAATGGACCAGTTTGCTCACCTCAAAAAGTTTGTGGCAAAGTCAATGACTTAATACATGATATGTAACATTTGTACAAACACAAGAAATAAGTGTAATTAGCAATGATTTTCTCACTCCTTAGTATAATTTTATATCATGCTACTTAATTTCTAGGACCATATGTTGAAAAGCTTTGTCATCTCTCCTGAATGATAGTATCAGAAAAACTTAATGCCTTTTTTAACCACTTTTTTTTTTTTGCAGAAATTTTTCCTACATTTATTATAATTAAACTGATACTGTCAATTGTCCCAACCCCCAGGATGCCCAAATCTATGTATATACATGATGTTATACTTGTAACTATATTTCTGTGTGTTTTAAAATAAATACTATTTAAATAAATAATGACGCTCTAAATACTAGGTTCAGTGAAATAATTAGATTGCTGCAAAAGAAGACATGACTTGACTTCATAGAGATAACTGATTTATAAGAGGAAGGAATGAATGCACAGTCTATGTCAGCATGTTTTTAAATAAAAAATGAATATTAGTTATTCTAGGATGTTTATGATTGTAACTTATACTTCTAAACAGTTAAAATATTTTCATATTACTCAGCTTGGGGGACTTTTCTCTAAATAGTGTCACTACAGGATATCAACATGAAAAAAGCTTTCAAAAGTTCCACAGTCCAAGACCAGCAAGTGGTTTCGAAGAACAGCATTCCTAACCCTGTTGCTGACATCTACAACCAGAGTGATAAACCACCTCCTCTGAATATTCTCACACCCTACAGGTAAGGCTTCATGTGTTCTCAGGGCCTTTTCAGTACAGATAAGTTGAAAGAGGGTAACAGTGCTGTGAAAGTATCTTTCAAACTTTGAAAATAATTGCAGTATTATAGACAAAGAAATAAGTCATTGTTTGCAGAATTGTTAAAGTTTTAGTATTTCAAAATATAGATAAACTTACCAAGAAAAGTGTGAGTTCTAACTTTAGCTTTTAAATATAGACATCTTAAGTAGAAGTGAGCACATTACATAACAGTATTGTGTATGGGTATGTTGTTCCTTATATTCAAAGTCAATTTTAAAGGAACTGCATAATTCAGTTATAATTCAGCAAATGAACTGTCTCAGCATTTCAGCCCTGCAGAGACATTTGTTATTTAATTCAAAAAAATTATTCTGTGGCATTATGGGTTTTTAAGAGTGGAAATATGGTCAACAAATTAAATTTCTGTTATTGTATAATGGTAGGACACATCAGTAGGGCCAGACTTCCAAGAAAAGGAATGAAAGATAAATAAGTGCAAAAAAGTAACATTAAGAAACCAAAAATACTTTTTTACAGTACCTGTGCGACCTCCTACCACATCAGTTCTTTCTTTCCACATTCTCTATCACTTTCTTTCCTGTTTCCCTTTGTCATGTGCTTTCTCATTGTACATAGAGTTCCTAACCCATCTCTTTACCCTCATTGCACATCGAGTCCCTCGCCCATCTTTTTTCTTCCTGTGGAGTGCATTCCTTCAGCCTCTGATGACCAGGCTGTGGTGGGGAGTGGTCCTCATTGCCACCCAGTGTTAGCCCTACAGGTGATACTCCTGCTGAGGCCTTTCAGAATTATTGCTTTCATGGGCCTTTGTCCTTTTTCTGGGGGTGCCCAGAGTTTTTCTTGGTCTGAATTCCTGTCCCTCATCATGGTCCAAGAGTTCATGTCTGGACCTGCTGCCCTGCTAGTGAAGCAGCAGTTCAGTCTACAACCCTTCCTTTCAGCACAGATGAAAAAGTTCTCTCAAAAAATGTGGGAGAGCCCATGGAGACGCTGATGGGAGAGGGCCCAGGTGCCACAGTTTTCTAAAGAACAAATATACTTTCCTGGAGGTGTTAGCACATTTGTTTAAAATGATTCTATATGTAAATAGTGTTATCGTAAGCCTGATGTTTTAACTTACGGTTTTGCTTGTCAACAGTTTCAGTGTTTCTTAGGCACTGGGAGTCGTGAGGGCTTGCTTACTGAAATTTTCTTAAGACACTTAACTAAATATTCTGTTCTAAAGGAAAAAAACCCATACAACTCACCTAATACTTATATTTGACTAATCAAGATCAAGATGAAATATTTATGGTGATTTAAAATTTTTCATTTCATAAAGAATTGACTTTTATATATATAGTGTGTATTGAGTTTTATGGAAAATAAAAATGTCTGACTTTCTAATAGTGTGTTTAAGAATAGCAGTGCCCATTCAAACCTACTTTTTGTTAATACAGCAATATTTTGCGTATATAAAGCACCGACTTTAGCCTTTGAGCTTGAGTATAACACAACACAATAATATATGAGAAGTATTTAGAGAAACAAATTACACTTTTCATAGTAATGTTATCAATAAAACCTATAATGCAGGTGTTTATCAATTAGGGATTTTGGAAAAGAAAGACAGAATTTTTAAGTAATCTGAGGTTAAGTGTAGAATGAAACGCACTGGTTTGTTGGTGATTTTAAGAGAGAGTGACCAGAATAACCCTCATAGGAATTAGGCCTTTAAATTATTTGATGAGGAGCATACCAGAACATGGCATAGCAGGGGCTTCAAGGACAGAGAGGTTTTGCCCCTAGAATAATTTACTTGGCTTTTTGTTTTTTGTTTTTGGACTGTTTGGACATAAACTCTTTCCTAAACTTCTTTCACTAATTTGTGCTTCCTTTATGTGCCTGAAATGACTTAGTGAAATACTGATTTGAAATGTAAGTGTTTTGCTTCCTCTTGAAGGTAAATCTGTAGGCCAGGTACTTTTTAAAGCATGAATAGAATAAGTGTTTACTTCATATCATGATTATTTTGAGAAATGCTATTGATTTATATTACAACCTTGGATTCATGTTGGCTGCATTATTACTGGTTTTATGATAAATGAATATCTTATATAAAGACTTGAAATATTCAGTAGACCATGGTAATTGTAGCAGTGCTTAGAAATGAAATGGCTGCAAGTGAATTTTCTTTGTGGGTTACTTCCATTTTAAAAATATTTTATCATTGGTTTTGTTAGTCGCAGTATTTTTGCTTTTTTTCTAAATGAATTTTTAGATATTGGGCAAACCTGATTGAGAAAAAGGGACAGAGTGTTACTAATCTTTATCTTCATGACATTGACACTTCAGAATGGAAGTAAATATGTATGTGAGTAAAGAATCCATCTGTTTAGGTGTATAGCCCCCATGGGAATAAACAGAACTTTTCCTGAAATAATTGAGAGATTAAATATTACTGTTTATGAGCCATATTGCGATTTGTAGGAGCGCTTTTCTATAAATGCAAATTTGGAAGAGTACTTTTTACCTAATTATTCTGGAAAAAGTTGCTGTTCTTTGTTTCAATAAGGAAATCTGAGAAACTTAATGCGTAGGGCAGTTAAAATGCCCCTTGCAGATGTTATAATGTCATGAGTCAAAAGTGAATTATGTTGACCACATATGTAGATATCTAACAGCTTTTTTTTCTGACTTGTAAAATACCTTGATTTATAGAGATGATAAAAAGGACGGGCTGAAGTTCTATACTGATCCTTCCTATTTCTTTGACCTCTGGAAAGAAAAAATGCTACAGGACACAGAAGACAAAAGGAAAGAGAAAAGGCGACAAAAGGTAAATAATTCCATTAGTGGAAACATGCATATAAATGTGTACATGGGTTCTTGTTTAGAAAGAAATCAGTGAATTCTTCACTCAAATGGGTGAGTTGTTGCATTCAGTGATGAAGGTTTTTTAGAGATTGTATTTTTTACGTGAAGATACTAACAGGTTTGTCTAACACAGTAATACTGTATTTCAATAAATACTCTTGATTTGTTCTCTCCCGTTTGTTCTGCTTTCACAAAAGTAGTGGCTAAAATTTGTTTTGTTTGTAACCATGTTTTAGAACTTTTCCCCTGCTCTTTCAGATTTCATAAAGCAGTCAACATTCCATATCAGAAATAATTATCTGCTTTCATTATGTTAAAGCTTTCTTCATTGTTGGGTTGTCACCTAGCTGTAATTAATGCTTTGAAGAGCTGCTGATGAAAAGTGTGTGTGGTCTGCAAGTGCAGCAGGTGGTATTTACTAGAAATGAGATTCCTTTGGTGGGTAGTGGTAGGCAAGATCATTGCAAGTCTGAAGTTTTAGGAGCACCGCATTGTAAGCATTCTGGGAAAGACAAGCCCACTCTACTCAGCTATCGGGCCTTCTATTTTGATGTCCCTTTGGAGCCCAGCAGTTAGATTTCAGCCCTGGGAAGAGTTAATTCTCTAAAGGCTAATATTTGCTAAGACTTTTTATACATAAGCTATGTTTTTTAAAAATGACCACCTGGTTTGCTTAACTAATATTAGAGTGCTTTAGTGAAGAGAACTGCTTACTTTTTGTGGGTTCTCAGTCTTAAAGTTTTGAGGCATTTAGATGTATTAGCTTGGTAGGGGCGACAGTTTGGGATGAAAGATAATTTGAAATTTGAAAACAGGATTTAAGATAGGGCACATCAAAATAATTTGCAGGCTATAAGTGTAAAATGTTACCACTGAATTCTAGGAGAGAATTCCAAAGGCTTGGTTAGTTATCCTCTCCTTTTCTGTTCCTGGGTTGGAGAGATTAACTGTGAAATCTTGGAAGAGTTACTGTGTATTCATTCAAGTGGAAGAGTATTCAACCTAAAAAGCTACAAAGTGTTCAAGTGAAGAAAAGGAAGATTCCATTCTCTGGAACAGAAAAGAAACATATTTAATAAAGCCATATTGGTCTTGATCCCCACACCCCGTGTTAGTAACAGGGCAAAATGCCAGGGCTTTTAAGAGCGATTTCCTTTGAAATGTGCCTGTCCTTTCAAACTATCTTTTAGGTTTCCCTTCTCAGTAATACTTTTGGCAAAAATATTTTTTTCACCAGTGTTCTTTAGGGAAAAACAGTCTTATCTACATATGATATTGTGTCATCCCATTTAGTTGTCATTTCCTTGGCAGCTCTGCACATTCTTCAAACACACAAAATTCTGGTAAGAATTTCTTATTCATTCATTTATATAATGATTCTTCCTTTAAAAATGCCTTTAAATGCTGGATAAACAGTGGTGAAAATGATAGGATTATCACCCTCATGGAGATTGCAGTAGAGTGGGGGAAGCAAACATTAAATAATCATGCAGCGCCCTGGGACTCATAAAGAGGGAAAGAAATTCAGAAATTATAATGAAGATCTGCTTTATGTAGGAACAGAAAATGAGGCAGCGAGATATCCTTTGTTCTGGAAATTCAGGTTTCCAAAAAGCAAGTCACTTTCAATTTGGAACTGACGAGTCTATCTGAAGAAAAAATCAGTTTAGAAAATTTGGGTATCGGAAATCCATTGTTTTTGAACTTTGTTTCCTTAGTTTCGTAATTTAAAAACATTTTCAAAATTACTCAAATAAATACGTAGTTGTTAAGTATGCAGTTACAATGCTGGTGTTTTGAAGAAAATGGTGTGCGGGGGCTGAGATGATGGGGTGTGGGGAGGAGAGCAAAAAGGAAGCGGAGTGTCAAGGACAGCCTGTCAGGAGCGGTGTTCGCTGGGACCGATGGTGGAGAGAAGTTAGCTTAAGTCAGTTTGTGGGCGCACGTGCGCACATGTGTAGGTGAAAGAGATGCTAGAGGAGCTGAGGGCAGAGGAGGTGGGGATGTTTCAGAACGGAGGAGCCTTCTAAGTGGAAGTAGCTAAGATTCTGGGCTAAGAAACAGTTTTGGCATCTTCTAGGGATTTGGATGTCAGTCAGTGTAGTTGGAGTATGGTTGCATCACTGTTAATGTTTTTGTCGTAAGTGGTTCCCTTATGTGTGTGTGAGGTGTGTGCATGTTGATGGGTAAATTTGGAGGCTGAACCATTACAAAGAGAGTTATTATAACATTTAATCCCTAAATATGTCAACATACATCTCTTATAAGTAGGGTAAATATAATTAATCAATGTGTATGTTGGAATCCATTGAAATCTCCCTCCTTTTTGTTGTTATTGTTCCTGTTGTTTTAGTTTTTAAAAGTATACAAACAATACATACTGATTGTAAAAGGCTCAAGTTATACTAAATTAAATATATTAGTTTAGAAAAGTTGGGGTATGTGTCTACTTTCTCTGGGCATAACTAACTACGTTAACATTTAGCAGTTTGGCATGCATATTTTTAGATTTAGATTTTTTATTTTCAGGCATTCATAAATATATGCATATACATTTCACAAAGTATTTTTATATACATAGAATTGTACTACGTAAAACTTATACATACACACAGGCAACCATACACATATATTGACATAACTGAAGAGGTACTTCATTCTTTTTCATAGTTGTGTGGTACTCCAAAGTATGGATGTGTCGTAAACTGTTTGTTCATTACTATATTAATGAATATTTAGATTGTTTCTAAATTGTTGCTGTTACAATACTATAGTAGGTATCCCTGTACACACATGCAGGTATTTCTTTGGAGTATAAATTCCTAGAAGTCAAATGTGAGTGTTAAATTTTGAAAGATACCATCATGTTGCCCCCCACCCTTAAAAGACCAAACCAGTTTGTACTCTCAACAGGCTTCCTCCTGTCCTGGATATTATCATTATTTTTTGATGAGCCCTCCTCCCACCCCACAAAAATCTAATATGTGTTATATAACTTTTCATCTTTATCAACTCTTTATGTATTTTCTGTGAACTTCATGTTTATGCCAATACATTGCGCCTCCTTAATACTTCTGAAAACAATCTAGTCATTGTCTGTCTTCACTGTCGCCCATAAGCCGCCTATCATCCTCTCAACTAGACCACCTGAGTGGCTTTCTTCTGGGTGTTTTTACCTTTCCCCTCATTCTGTTCTCCACAACATAGAGGAAGCTTTTCAAATGCCTCTTCCTCTTCAGTATGTCAGCCCTTCCCATCTTACTCTTCAGGGTTTCCCATTGCTCTTGGGATAAAGAACAACATTAAAAAAATATTTTTATTTCTTGATTTTAGAGAGAGAGAAAGAGAAACATCAATTTGTTGTTCCATTTATTTATGCATTCATTGATTTATTCTTGTATGTGCCCTGACTGGGGATTGAACCTGCAACCTTGGTGTATCAGGATGAAGCACTAATCAACTGAACTACCTGGACAGGACTAGAAGAACATTTTAAACATAGCCTTTAAGGTCTTGCCTATTTTTCTGATCTTGGGGGCCATTCACCCTCATTCACCACTCACCTTTCATTTCTCCTAATGTGATGCTCTCCCTACTCCTCAGAGCCTTTGCACACTCTGTCCCCTTTTGGCGTGCATCTGACTTGGGCTCTTTTGCAGAATTAATGCCCACTCTATAGAGATCTTGCCTTACACTCACTCCTGGATACTCTGACTTCCAGAGTAGATGGCATTCTAAACATGATACATTTGTGTTTTAACACATTTTTAAAATTTTTATTTATTTTTTAGAGAGAGCGGAAGCGAGGGAGAAAGAGAGGGAGAGAGACATCCATCTGTTGCCTCTCGCATGCCCCCAACTGGGGACCTGGCCTGCAGCCAGGCATGTGTCCTGACTGGGAATTGAACTGCGACTGTTCATTTCACAGGCCGGCACTCAATCCACTGAGCCCCATGACTAGGGTAGTTTTACCACATTTTATAATTGCACATGTATTTCTTAGATTATGTAGTCTCCCCCACTGGACTGCAAGCTCCATGAGGACAGACATTTGTCTTTTTGTTGTTATTATTTGTCCTTTTTATCATTACTGCCTGGCATGAGCTGGGACATAGCCCCATAAGCTCACCTGGATTTGATGATTGAGTGTGCACTCTAGGTAAAACCGTGTGTGGGGGGACTGTAAGAGTGTAGGATTTAAAGGCACATAGTTCTTGTCCTTAAAGATCACAAAATATTTTAAGGGAAGCAGGAAAAACATATAAACACACAAAGAAATAATTGTTCTCATCTTCAAAGAAGCACCTGTATATGGGACCCAAGTATTTATTGGATACATTTTTGGTGGCAAAGTAGGGCTGGAGTAAGAATGAGTCTTTGTATGGGAAGGTAAGTTCTTACCTTGTTTTTGTTTTGGGTTCGGCTCGTTGCACAGTTAGCTTGAATACTGCTTTTAGAAGTTGGGAATAGAACGTTTTGAATTACTTTTGAAAGATGATTGCTTGTTAACAAGCCAGTCAGAATTATGTGGGGTGGGAAGTGATTTCTCCTAGGGTGTCACCCTAAGACATTTCATCTGTATAGTATCAATCTAAAAGATAAGGTATATTTAAAACAAGCTAAAAGCCTAGAAAGGCAAGAATTCTTTACCAAAACTGATGGTAAGAAATTCTGGTAGTTGCAACAAAGTAATTTTTATTTATTTGGTTTAAATAGTCAGTATTGGTTACTTTGTGTTGGGTCTGTGTTGGGTAAGAGTATGTTGGGTAAGAGTATGGCTGTGTTAGAAGTTTCTAACATTAGAGTAATGGGAAGGGGACTGTCTCTGGTCTGCACATCAGGCTAGTTCCCTGAGCATTATAACTGTATTTAACCTGTTTTCCTTTCCCTTCTGTCTCGGCATGCTTGCTTTCTTTTCCTGGACCTCAGGAGCAAAAGCGTATAGATGGCACAACCCGTGAGGTGAAAAAGGTTAGAAAAGCCAGAAACAGGCGCCAGGAGTGGAATATGATGGCGTATGACAAAGAGCTCAGACCCGACAACAGGTTGTCTCAGAGTGTGTACCATGGAGCATCTTCCGAGGGATCCCTGTCCCCAGATACTAGGTGTGTGCGTGTGTGTGTGTGTAGTAATGCCTCTGAGCAGCGCTTGGTTTTATTAGTCCCTGAAAATTACCAGTAGCTTTGGTGTTTATATGGCCACAGTATGTTTCAAATCTTTCCTTAAAAATTGTGTGTGTGTGTATATTTGAATTTTGAAATACTTTAAAGCAGTTTTACTTTACGTTGGGTTATGTTGTATGATTTTTCATATCTCTGACTTACTATTCAGTTAATCTAGCTATGCAGTACTTTAACATGGATTCTGAATTTGGGCTTAATGACTTCCAGTGAGTTACATTTTTACTTTAAATCATTTAATTCTTTGTCTTACTCTTCAGCTTAGAATATTGATTTTTTCTTTGTTACTTGGTATCAAAAAATGATTAGTAGGTAGTAATTGATGTGATTAAGGAATAACTTCATTGTTCTTTTTCATAACCTTTTAAAAAGTGATGAACAAAAGAGATATTTATTTCTTTAGTTCACTAATCTTGCGTGCTCAGATTTCAGGAGAAGAATTCTGTTGGTGTTTACTTTACAATATGTTAGCAATTAAGTAAACATTTCTTACAGGTATGAATGATGTGGTCAGTAAGTCACATTTGTCACAGAAGGAATTCATTCGACAACAGGAACTAACAGGCCAATTTTAACTTACGGTTTAATTTTCTGTTTCTGCTTTTGTAAAGCTGTCTTGTAATTTGCATCATCTCTCCAGGTCTTCCATCAGCATTTAAAAATTTGAACAGAGAATCCTAATGTGACTGAAGGATGTTTCAAAAACAGCACCAACCTGGACCTGGCCTTAGATTTGTGTCCTTTTTAAATCAGTTTTATTTTTATAACCTCATTGCTTAGCCCAGACTCTGCATACAGAAGCTGCTTAATATTTGGTAGTTTCAGAACCTGTAAACATTACTGCCCCAGAAGGGCTGTAAGTTATGAAGCAAGTTCTAGGTAATTTTTCTGTATGTGTTGTTATCAGCTAAATATTACAGAATTATTGGAGATTTAATTGAGCCCTAGTCTCAAGTTTGAATCTTTAAGTCAGTTTATTTCTGTTGACAATAAGAATGATGATACAGTTTTGTTCATAGTTCTTTGGGTGGGGAAGAGCACTTCAACTTGATAGCTCCCAGGATGTCAGTTTGCTTTTTTGTGTTGTTTTGTTTTGATTTTGAGCTAATATAGTTGCATGGTTTACTCATGTAAAACATATACTTTTTAATACTCCATATGTACTCTTTTATTTCAATACATACAGATGGGAAAATGACTTTAATCCCTCAGTTGAATGGTTGGTATATATTCTAACATCTGATAGAACATTGCTCCAGACTGGGTATAAAAATTGGTGGTCACTTAGATGATTTAGTATTCTGCCTTTGTATCTGTTTTTTTTAGATATATCTTCACTTCTTTATTTTTCCAAAAATCAGATGGAATTATCAGCTTTGTTTCTTTATAATTTCCTTTTCTCTCATATTGTTTTTCATGAGCTCTCACAATATGCTTCCACCAAATAAATAGATTATAATTATTCATTGTACTTGAATTACATCCCTTAAATTAATTCAGAAATTTTTTATTTTACTAAAGTATTATCACTTTTTCTTATTATAAAATAAAATCAATTTTTTATATTTGGAAATTACAGAAAACAAAATATTATCCAAAATTCTATTATCAGCTAAACCACTGTTTGCATTTTAGTGTATTTATTTTCTTTGGTCTTTTTTCCATATAGGTGTATGTTTTTCCTTTACAAAATTTAAATAATGCCCTGTATTTTTTATCTTTTGCCTTTTTTATTTTTTATATTTATATTTTGAGTGTTATTTAAAACCATGGTTTTTAATGGATTTATTCAGGATGACTGAGGGAAATTTGAGTATTAAGTTTCATGGCTTATATATAAAAAAGCTGTTCATGTAAGTCATATATTTTAACCCAGTTCACATAAACTAATGATAAATTTTTGCATTTTTGCTCATCAGGAATGGTGTGATTCTAAGTGTAAATTTAGGGTAAGAATTGATTAAGTGCTTGCCCACTGCGTTCTTTCACCATTATTTGGGAGGTGTGAGACCTCCATACCCAGCCCTCCTTGTGCTGTTTCTCATCCTGTTCAGGGCCCTGTGTTACAACTCTGACTCTGCCCACCTGACTATCCACAAAACCCTGGGGGAGTCACTGGATTCTCCCACTGAATCCCCACTCCTTATATTCTTCCTGTTTCCATATCATACCATTCTTACCAGTTCTCTTCCCTATAACAGATAGTTACAGGACCACCCCACTCACGTTCACATCGGTGTAATGTCACTGTGGCTCACTTTTACCTTCCTACATGGCGTCTTTAAGAGTCTCCTAGCAGCCGCCCCACACCTCACCTCTCCTCCAGCCTGCCGGGGTCCCCCTTTAGGTGAGCCTTCACTTCAGCTGGTCAGTTCTCTCTCCTGCCTGCCCTCCAAGTCCTGCCTTCCAGAACTCTCCTGCTGTAATTCTCAAATGCAGACATTCGCTGCCTTTTCCTTTGTTCACTCATCCTTCTGGTTATCCCCCTTTTTATTGGCTCCCTTTGACTCAAGTCACAAGGCTACTTTATAAGGGTAACACTAAATTATTCCAGAATAGTTACAATATTTGTCTCCTCATCTCATGAGAAGAACTCTGTATTTTTCTAGATAACTTTGTTTTCTTTAAAAAGTTGTACACAGCCTGTGGCATAGTCACACACACGCAGTCAAGCACACATACCCTCTGCCTCCAGAGTTTTAGGTATTTATTTACATTATAACAATATGTTAAACCTCAATACAGGTCAGGTTCTTCCCCCATTAAAAATATTTTTAACTTATTTGCCAGCAGTTTGCATAGTTCAAAAGATACAATCATAAGCACACCATAATACAGAATTTATACTGCAATTAGGGAAGAAAAAATGTGAGCTATTAGTTATTATTATATTATAATTAGGGAAGAAAAAAGAAAAAAAGAAGCAGTCTTTTGTCATGCAGAGAGCTTTTCTATGCCCTACGATGCTCCAGTTAAGGAAGGCTACTGCCTGAATTCTAAGATCCAAGTTCAGTTGGTGTCTCCCCTGCTCCTCCACATCCCCATGTGTGTCTGCCTGTTTCCTTCAGAGAGAGAAACACAAGCTGAATCCTACCCGAAGCCAGCACATAAATGTGAGAAAAGTCAGAACAAGAAAAGAAGAGTGGGAGAGGAGGAAAATGGGCATTGAGTTTATGAGTGACGCAAGGACACTGGAACAGGCAGGGAGCACAAAAGTGGACAGAACACCCAGAGGGTTTGTCATTTTGCTTTTTGGATTGCCAGCCTCAGGCTGCCCACCCCGCTTTGGCCGTCGTGAGAGGATGTGCAGCCCCTATACTGACCATGTGTCCTGTAACCAGGCCAGGAGTGCAAATGTCCATTACTAACGCCATGGCACTGTGCAGCTGCGACGTATGAGTCCCTGTGCTCCTCATAAGGGCCTGACTGGCGTCTGTCTGAGCTCTGTTAACTAACACATGGTCTGTTTCTTTCAGAGTTTCACCTGCAACTGTGCATTCAGAGAAAACAGGAAGGTCCTTCCATACTCCACTGTGTTCTTTCTTTATTGGCTAAATACATTTCTTTTTGTTTAAGAAAACTACATTTCATCGTACTGCATTCTTGATTTCCTTTTCTTTTCTTACTGTTAATATTTATCCAGTTCACCTGCCATCTTGTAATTTCTAATGAGGTGCTGTCAGTTTCATGGCCACAGAAGTCCTCTGTCTTCCATGCTCCCTTTAAATTAAATTAAATGGAACTTGTCTTGTAACCTTCTCTCTTACAAAAAGGTATGCTGATGTATTGTGAAATGGGGCTCTGCTGTTCCCTGCTTGCTGATCTGTCTGACTTACTCACTTTGAAGCTATGAATCTGAATCCATGTTAACACTCAGCTTGCTGCCGACGTAGTCATCACATTGTTGCTTGGAAGCTCCTGTGGGGCTAGGTCTAGTTGACAGTAAAGGAAATAAATGTCTGATTTCTATGTACTGACAATGTTATTTTTCAAATATATGCTTATGCCTGTTAGGGAAAATTTTTTTAACTTAAATTTCTCCCACCCTTTTCTTGAACATCAGGTCTCATGCATCGGATGTCACAGATTACTCTTATCCGGCCACTCCCAACCATTCTCTTCACCCGCAGCCTGTCACCCCTTCCTACACAGCGGGTGACGCGCCCTCACATGGGCCAGCTAGTCAGGCCCCTGAGCATGAGTACCGACCTCCCTCTGCCTCAGCGAGGCACATGGCCCTGAACAGACCTCAGCAGCCGCCCCCGCCACCCCCACCGCAGGCTGCAGAGGGGTCCCAAGCCTCGGCACCCATGGCTCCAGCAGACTATGGGTAATTTTGTATTCCTTGTACTCTAATTGCTGCTCACCATTACAATGAAATCTTGCTGTGTGTGGTATAAAAATTTGAATTGAGTAATCTTACTTTAGAGGCCAGAATGCAGCTCAGGATGACTGAATATAGGTACTATTGCTTGTGACAAGTTATGTTTAAAAATGCAGTGTCATGCTACTTCCCTTTTTTTTATTACAGATAAACCTCAGGTTTGTGTCTGTATTCACATACACCCCCTTACTACACATATTCACGTATGCATGAGTGGATTGATAAAGGATGGAACTCTGATTTTGTGAACTTGTACCAAATCCTCAAATTTCTCCACATGTCCTGGGTGAACCACAGAGAATTCATACCACAAATGAGAACACCACACAACACAGTGCCCCCTGCATCGCTTCTTACACTTGGCTGTGTGATGGTCCCCAGTCATTATTCTGCCACCTTGTTATCTGTCATATGGGTAACATTCAAACACCCCTAGAAAGACCCTCATGTTCACGTGTTTAGTAATTTAAGCACCCACCCGTATTTTGAAGGGCTGTTTTAGCTCTCTATTTTCTGGCTTAGCCCTAATCTGAGAGAGTTACCCCCTCAGAGTCAGTGCCCTGGAAAGCTGGATGTGTGTTTCTCTTACTGGTGTGTTTTTCAGTCCAGAACAGTATGTATCGTTCTCAATGTGCATCCTTCCACTTTGAGAGCCCTCCTCCCTGACCACACAATCCAGCCTGTTTCCCATCACTGGTTCTTATTAAGTCAGGACTCCCAAAGTTTGTTCTGAGTCTGTAAGTGTGAGGACAAGGCGGTCTGGGGTCTAGCTGGTTTGGAAGACCATTAAATAGAATTCAGAAGGTTTCTTGGCGGTAGGACTTTTTAAAGCTTTTGATAGTCTGAGGGAAATTTCAAAATGTAGATGAGGTATAAAATACAGAATTTTCCAAATCTGGCCACAGAAGCCTTATATGACAATTTTGTGAGTCCCCTGCTTTTGAGATGCCCAGTTTTAAAGGATGCATTTGTGTATTTTATTCTAGCATTTCACAGAAGATTACTTTTTGAGTGGTTATCCTTTGGATGCATTTTAGAGGATGATTGTGAATTCCATCATAGTGAATAATGTAGACCTGTGAAAATAACTGACCCAAAGGGCAGATATTTGCATCCTGCAGTATTTTAAATTCAAATGACAATACGTTATTGTGTTTGGGGGAGGCCTTTCTATTAGGCATGTCAGAACCTCATAGGTGACCCTTGGTTGCTGCTTTAATGATTATGTGTTTCCTTTCTTATTAGGATGCTCCCTGCCCAGATCATTGAATATTACAACCCCTCAGGACCGCCTCCTCCCCCACCACCCCCCATGATCCCTTCAGCACAAACTGCCTTCGTCAGTCCTCTCCAGATTCCCATGCAGCCCTCCTTTCCAGCATCAGCTGGATCCTCCTACCCTGCGCCTCCTCACCCACCCTCCACTGGGCTGGTGGTCACAGCTCCGCCTCCTCCGGGCCCCCCACCACCCCCACCAGGCCCTCCTGGCGCAGGCAGTTCTCTCTCGTCCTCCCCCATGCATGGCCCTCCAGTAGCTGAGGCAAAGAGACAAGAAACTGCACAACCACCCATAAGCGACGCTCGCAGTGATCTTCTTGCTGCTATTCGAATGGGTAAGCAAATCCCCAAATGTACCATCTTCCATTCAGAAAGAGACTTCTGTCTCCAACCAGCTACAACCTAGTCTTCAAATGACTTCTCCCTATACTAGGTTGTTTTTTAGAATATGGTTAAAGGAGCTTTATTTGATACTTTGAAAAATAGTAGATTTTTTGCCAGTGCAAAGTAAACACATAATGATAGAGAACTGAGAATTCAGGAAAGCTCTACTTGATTAGAAATAAATAATATAAATTATTATTAATTAATTGACTCTTTTCTCTGCATTCTACTCTAAGGGTAAAAAAGTATAAATGAAAGAAAATGAGCTCATATTATGATTTTGTTTTTTTAAAATATCTAAGATATATCTTAGAATTTTCATATTTTTAGCTTGATGTGCCAGACCAGTAATTTTCAACATTTATATAGCAGCAAAACTATTTTGTCAGATGAAATCCTACACTGAACCCCCAGAACACAAAACAGAAGTAGAGCATCTCTGTTCAGATCAGAGTGGGGGAACCTGGACCATCACCCATGTGGCCTCCCTTCAGAACCCCACATTAAAGATCTACTTTACACCATTTATTCTTTCCCTCAGGTCACAGCCTAGGTTGGTAGAGAGTCACTGACAGGATGTAGAATAAATCCAAAAGCGTCACATACACTGAGGAGCCACACAGCCTCTTGGTCACAGTTCAGTTCTTTCAGTCTGGCAGGGACTGAGAGAGCCTAGCTTTAGCATCGGTGGCATCCTTCACAGGACAGCTGGGACGTGACTGCCTCTGCTCTGTGTTTGAGCGCCCGCAAACCAGGCCTCCGTATGCCCACACACCCTCCTCTCAACCCCAGGGTTCTCATCTGTCTTGATGCATTTTGATTTTGTCAAGAAAAAAGTCCCAGAGTTTTTAATACCTTACTGATAATAAACTTGGTGTCATAAGAGGACAGTGTTTCGATTTTTGACAGCTGCGAGCCCCGCCCAGTAATAGTGATACTTAAAACTGTCTGTGAGGATCTACTCCTCTGATGAGCTTAGATTGAGGACATTCTACCAAAACTTGAAGGTCATAAAACACCCAAGACTGCCCAGATAAAGAAACATTAATGAAACATGACAACTAATGTAATAGGTGATCCATATTGGATCCCAAAGCTGGTAGAAACCATTTTTCATTTGCTCTATTAGGTCTGTTGTCAAAATTTAAATAAAATTTGGACTGGATGGTAGTATTGTATCTTTGCTAATAGTCTGAATTTGATAATTGTTGTTTTGAGAATTACACATGAAGGGGCAAAGGGTAAAGTAGCAAATTACATGCTACTTATTCTCAGATTGTCCAGAAAAAAATGTCTATGTGCATATTAATAACAATGATAGAAACTGTAAAACAAGTGTGATCGAGTTACCACTTGGGGACTCTGGGTGTAGGTCATATGGGAACATGTTAATCTAGTCTTACAGCTACTATAGAAATCAGAAATTGTTTCAAAAAGAAAAAATTCAAGATCATACACATTAAATCATCACATAACCCATTTTGTTACTTACTGGGTAAGAGTAGATGTTTGGATTTTATACCCATTTCAACAATAATTGTTGAAACAACTGTTTATCAGTTACCTCCACAGGTTAGCCAAGAGCTGCCCAGCCTGTGCGGGAAAATGTTCTATAATGAGAGAAAAATTTTGTGTTTACATTGTTCTAAGTGATAGCCACTTGCCACTATCAGTTTACCTTCACAGCCATCTGTGGCTAGTGGCTACCATATTCGACAGTGCGGCACTAGAATTTTCTTTAATGTTGCTCATGTGCCCTGAAATTATAACTTTTATATTTCAATGCGTTAATTTGCTATGACAAACATTATGACTTGAGTACATACTACTTTTTTTTGGTAATGAAACATCTATTTTCCAAGCCTTTCTCCCTTCAGATTTTCAAAACTGTTTATCCTTAGTGTCAGTAGGGGAAAAAAAAACCCAGTGAAATAGACTGACTAGTTTGTTTTCCTTTAATTTGGAGCAAGTAAAAGGATTTAATTCTAAACCATGTATTGTGTCTGCAGGAATTCAGCTAAAAAAGGTACAAGAGCAGCGTGAACAAGAGGCCAAGCGCGAGCCAGTGGGGAATGACGTGGCCACGATCCTGTCCAGACGCATTGCTGTGGAGTACAGTGACTCTGATGACGACTCGGAGTTTGATGAGAATGACTGGTCTGACTGAGGTGGTGCACAGGGCAGCATGGTGACAAGGCTGGTGGCCAGCCAGGAGACTGTGTGTGGGAAGTGTATTGAAAATCTTAAGTGTTCTCAACACCCAAATAGGGGTATTATAATCCTGTAGCTTAGCAACTTTTGTATTAATAACGTGATATTGCTTTTGCACATCCAAAAGTTTTGAGTTCTTTAAGCATTTACTGTGTAATACTTAAGTGCCACTAAACATAGGAAATCGTGCTGCACACGAGGAATATGCTGTAACTATTGCATTGTCCTGAAAACAGCATTTTGCTTCCTTTTTCTTGGTTATGCAAGTGTTTAGTGCAGTTTGGGTTTACTCGTACCTTATAATTCTGCAGACTTGCTGTGTGTTTGTGAAGCTGCTTGGTGTTAGGCCTTGGCAAGATTAATGACTGTGTGTCAGAGTGACGTCTTCCAATCAGTAAGTGATATCATTTCAATTTTTTGTGTGTGGGTTTCAGAAATTGGTTCTAGAGAGGAAGATTTAACAAGTAAGGAGAATCAAACGCTTCTGCTTTCATTTTCTTCACGTGGTAGACTCCGTGAATTTGAATGTTCTGTTGAGTAATGTCATTGACTTTGCACGCTCTTATAAAATGTGAAATTGGAAAGGCCCTTTCCAGGCAGGACTCCCAGTGGGCGTTCATTAAGTCATTGCTTGTTGATGATTTCTCTAAGAGGTAAACAGCTCAGCGGTAATGAAAATGAGGAACAGGGTCCTTTCCCCTTCAGCTTGAGCACCAGACCCGCAGAGCAGTCATCAGTGGTCTAGGAGCTGCGGGCGGAGCTGCTGGGTGTGGGCTCTGGATGCGAAGGAGACCTCCCTTCCCGGGAGACCTCCCTTCGCGGGAGCCCTGTCCTAAGTAAGGCCAGTTGGAGTTCTTAGCTCCCTGCGTGCTCCAGATGGCACCTCGCTCCACATGGTCTGAACTCTAAGCCTAGGTGTAGGTGAATGTAGACGTTGCCAGCTCTTTTAGATTAGGGATCCATCTCAGGAGTGGGGCCTTTGCTCTGTCCTAGAAGCACACGGTTCTCTTTTCTCAGACTGTTGTCAGCACATTACATTTTAACAAGTACCTCAGATTAGATTAGACCTGTAGCTGTAGCAGATTGTGTTCCTTTCACCTTTGCTCTTCCCACTACTCTTCCCACATGGTAATGTGGAGACCTGTGGGGTTCATATTCCTGGTGAAGGCAAATGTGAGGAAACTCAAAAATGAGAGCTTATATTTTGTAATTTTGGATGAAGGATAACTGCTTGTCTAGAATAAACAACACCCCCAGGCTTTGATTATAAATAGGACTGCACAAATACACTAAGATGCTTTATTTACTAATGAGTTCTTACCTAGGCCCAGCATTTGAAACAGATGGCAGGTACCAGTGACACTCCGTCATGATGAAGGAATCTTTAGCTAAAAACAAGAGTTGTTTGGGTTGGTTTGGGTTGATGGTAGGAATGTAAAGTATAAACAGGACTGTAACTGTAGAGTTGCGTTAATGAGTTCCCCTGAGGAAATGAACCACCCCCCTTTCCCCAGCATGTCTGTGTGTCCCTGAGTGGACCCTGGCTTGGCTTGTATGTGGCCATCGTATAAAGCCTGTGTGTTGGGTTTTAGTCCATAGGTTTTGAAACTCTGAGAAGCCTCATGTCTGCATCTCCTTTCCAAGGCCATGATTATACCAGGTCATTGCGCCTCTTCAGCCATACTGGCCGTTCAGGCACATGCTTCTGGAGTTTCCGTTTCTTGGAGCTAGTCACCACTTGGTTATCACCATAATTTTGTTCAATATATTAAGTAATAGTTATTAATGAACCTTTAAATTTCTCTCCTTTTTTTTTAATGTAGAGGTCTACTCTGTTGGCATTATTCTTGGGGTTTTATAATTTTTAGTCTTATTTTTGTCTTTATATAACAGTATTTTGCCTTTATTACAGTATTTTGTCTTTTTGTTACTTTTGGATTAGGAGTTACCTGCAATTCTAGAACTCCTATTTGGTGATGCTTCTTTGTTTTCATGTCCCTTCTGTTCTCAGGATGGAGAGAACACGTAAAGCTACTATCTATGTCAGCTTTCTTCTGTTTATATCTTATTACCATAAAATCAGTGGCACTTTATTCATAAGCCTATTATTTAATAGTTTTCTTCCTCTAATTAAATCAACAAGTTATTTTTCAACTTGATTTTCTGACTAGTGAAAAACTTTGTGCCCTGAGGTGTTATCTAGCATCTAAAATAATAGAAAAGGACTGAAATTCAATTCTGATTATTTTTTGCAGTATTTTTCTCAGCAAATCTGATTGATTCTAAAATTTAAATTCAGACTTTTTCTAATACGGTATTACATGAAAAGAAAAAAGTGATTATTTTGAATGTTCAGCTTTCATTTTCAAAAAGTATTTACCAAAACAGAGAAAAAGCATTTAAAAGCATATATCATATCTGTGAATTTTACATTTTAAAGTAGTTATATATTATTGTAAAATTACTCTAAATTGTCTCTAGTCTTTTCTCCCCCTGTGTATTTTACTTTAATTTCTTACAAGCTTGCTTTCATATTATAGATTAGGCTGAGGGGATGAAATTACTCAGTATCACACATTAGCAACACTAACATGATATGGTTGATTTTCTTCTGTTCTCCCTAAACCAAACCATAAGATTTGGTTCCCTTACATTTTTCTTTAGTGAAAGTATAGTGTTAGAGAATTAACATTTTTCTTTCAGTGACTTTTTAGAATATCAAAATCTTTCTGAGTACCAAATGGCTAGGTTGTGAAAGTTTTGTAATAATTTGCAACTGAAATACATGATACATTTTAATCCGTTAAAGACTGGTGGGGATGTATCAGCCAGAGTAGCAAGTGCTTTTTGTTTTCTAAATCAGAGTATCTGTCATCCTGCAGTAATACCAATGCTGATATAAATTGAACTTAAAGTGGTATTAAAAAAAAAACCTCCTGTTAAACAATTTTTATCTGTTTGTATATCTTACTATAGATTATGTATAAGTAACATCTAAATAAAATTACACTTTTAACCCTAAAAGGCTTGGCATATTTTTAACAGTGTTGTGAATATAAGTCATTACTGTCATCTACAAATCCCCTGCTGCAGGTGAGGGAACAAGCCCATTTTTGCCCTCCTGGAGCTTTTCATCTAAAGAGAGAGGAATTCAGATGATTTTACATGTGCTTTTTAGTAGGGGGTGCAGTGGGAAGTGCCCAGCATAGCCTGTGGCCCAAAGGAAGCTGGGGTCTAAGAATGAACTAACGAAGGGCCAGGGGTAGGAAAAGGAGTTTCTCCATGTCAGGGACAGCATTTACATTTCCTAGTGTGAAAAAGACGACATGGGTGATAATGGAGCCAAAGGAGGGGTGAAATAGAAGGTGTGAGAGGAAGAGGAAGTGCCGTGAGATGGGAGACAGAAGCGGTGGAAGTCTTCACGTTCCCAGCACTCAAGATCTGAGCCAGCAGCTGTCACCACAGCTGCAGCTACAGATGTACAGAAGATCTCCCCATATTTGCATCCTATTGATTATTCAGTGATCTTGACAGCCTCATGCCTTAGACAGTACTAACATTATATTTAGAAAGGATCTTAGTGTTCAGCTAGTGCTCCCTAGTGTTAAAGATGGGGAAACTGGGCATTGCTTGCCTTGCTTGAGTCTCAAAGTTTGGTCTCTTAATTCTTGAATTTTCAGCTGTGGTCCTCCTGTTTCACAGTAGACCTTCAAGTGTTAGGTAAATGTTCCTCTTCCCCAGCATCTTAGGATGAAAAAATTTAAACCCACAAGAAAATTGTTCAGTAAATGCCCATATAACTATGTCTGTCCATCTCCCCATTTAGCAATTCACCGTATTTTATGCAGTTCAAAGTAAGTTCCAGTATACTTCACCCCTGAACATTTCAGTATTCATATCATAAACTAGAGTTTGCTAGTTGTGCTTAATATCTTTAAGGTAAAAGATACTTAGAGTGAAATACACACATCGTAAGTATACCGTTAAACAAGTTTTAATTACGTAGCATTTGTAACACAAATCCCATTAAGAAAGAACAGTTCTGAGTCTTGAACCAGATCCAAGGGAACATTCCAAGTGACTTGGGTCTGTCCAAGTCACTTCTCTCCTATTCTGGTCCCTGGAACAACTACTGCTGGGATTATTTTTTTTCCCCATAGATTAGTTTAGCCTGTTCTTGAACTTGACATATGGAGTAAAAGAGTATGTATCCTTTTGCATCTGGTTTCTTTTAACATACTTAAAAATTCATATCATTGCATGTATTAATTGTTTATTCCTTGTTATCACTGACTAGTGTTCTATTGTAGAATATACCACAGTGAGTTTATCTGTCCTCTTGGATAAGACCTATACAAGTAATTTCTGGACATTTGTGTACATCCTGTCTCGGGTAAATAATCAAGAATGAAATTGCTATGTCATGGGTAGGTATATTTTTAGTTTTATAAGAAACTGCCAGAGTTTTACAAAATGGCTGTAATGTTTCACACTTACCAGCAATGTTGCTTCACATTCTTAGATGTTATTTTCTTTGTATTTATTCTACTTGGGCTTCACTGAGCTTGACTCTGTAAATTTATGTCTTTCATGATATGGAGGAAATATTTGGGCATTATTTTTTCAAATGTATTTTTTGCCCCTTTCTGTCCTCTCTTTATACTCCTATGACACATGTATTAGACCTTCTGAAGTTGGCCCACAATTCTTTGAGGGCCTTTCAACTTAAAATTGCTTTTTATCTCTGTTCTGCAAGCTGGGTGATTTTTATTTATCTATCTTAAGGTTCACCAACTCTTTATTATCACCTACAATTTGCTCTTAACCCCATTTAGTGAGTCTTTTATTCAGACATTGTTTTTCCACTTTGGAATTTCCTACTGGTTCTTGTTTTATAGTTTTGTTGCTCTGCTTAGATTTCCTACTTGCTCATTTATTAAAAGATTAAATAATCTTTACTCTTTGAACATAAATACATTCATTCCTTTAAAATCCTTGCCTGCTAATGCAAACATCTAGAGCTTTTCAGGATTAATCTCTATTGATTACCTTTGCTCTTGAGTACATGCCTAGTACTTTTGGATTGCATCATAAACTTTTTGAATCATATATTATAGAGATTCTGAATTCTGTTATATTCCTGGGAAAAATACTGTTTTTTTTTTATAAGGAGGCAGTTTACATGGCTGGATTTGTGCTCCGCCCCCCGACCCCTCCTCCACCTCTCCCTCACTCCCTGCAATGGATAGCTGTAGAAATCTCTTAAGTTCTTAGCGAGGCTGCTTTTGAGTTTGCCTTGCTCATGTCTGGTTACAGGATCACCCAGAGGTTTGGGCAGTGTTACACAGAATTTTTGTATCTCCCTCTCTGGTTCTTGCTTCCAGGATTCTCCCCTCACTTTCTATATGCTCAGGTCACTCTACATTGGTCCTCTTTTTCAGCCAGTAAGACTGGGTGGGGTAAACAAGCAAGGTGGTAGGTTTTCTGTTTAAGTTTAGCTGCCCTGCTTGGCAGGACACAGCCTGTCTTCCGGCAAAAAGCCATTAAAAAACAAGAAATGCCCCCAAAGGTTTTTTCTTCCAAGTATCAACTCTCCTTTAATATCTTCCTGTTTTTTCTTTATTTCTCTCCAATGCCTCCAATAGTTGTGTTTTGTTCAGTTTATAATTATCTATAAAGAGTTGGTCTGGAATGGGCTAGTCTTCCATTCCCAGGAACCTCTATAAAAATTTGATTCAATGATTATTTTTAAAAATATTATTAAATGTAATTTTTAAAAATGCAGACTGGTGCTGAATACCAAATTATAATAGGTGACCAACATTTCTGTTTTTCTGCCGGGCAGATGTGTTATTGCAAGGATCCTACAGTAAAACTTGTGATACTTCATTTAACTAAATGATATCGCAGGATTGCAATGGTGTGCTCTGAACCATGTGCCCTTTGTGTATCCTTGTGTCTATGAGTCAGAATATTCTCAAAACTGTGCAAGCACTGCACAGTACATAAATAATGTGGAGATTAAAACTACTTTTGCCAGCCTTAAATTACAGTCTCAAAATGTTTATGTCCACTAAATAATAAGGTTTTCATGGAGTGTCTTAAATTTAGGAATTAATCTATACAAATACAATAATACTTATACAATATTGTTGGGGTTCATTTGGAAAAAAAAGAATTTCACTACCTAAAGGTTTGAAAACCACTGCTTGACACCCTCACTGACTGATTTCTTATCTTTAGACCAGGAAGCATTCACACTGTGGTAACACACTGTACTGCACTCTAATTTTGTATCCCTGGAAGAGAGCACTAGCACAGAGGTGAGCCGAAAGCGTGAGAAGACTTACGTGCTCAATTTGGAGGTGTGAGTAACTTGTAGAGGTATCTTGACAGGGACTTAGGTAATAAAGAGATTTGCTTTTAAAGCATAAATTCTTCACAGAGCCGACACTTGGACATTTATTTGCCAAAAGACAATAGCTCTCTGTTGTGAATATTTGCGTATGTCATCTTTCTAAACCCTCCTGCCTTCATCCTTGCACTTGCGGTCTGAGTAATTAACTTCAAATACAGTACCATGATTAGAAGTGGTGAATTGGTAGATGGTTCACCGTGAAGAAAAATAAAGAAAATAACCCTTTGAGAGTCATTTAAAACCTACCAAGTGGTACTTGCCATGAAGTGACATTTAAAAGCACTTAATATTCTAAGATGTGATTCAGCTGTTCAGAAGTCAAGCAATTTGAGAGCACGTGGCCTACACGTCCTGAAGATGTGAGCATAGCTTAGCGTTTACATGGATAAGGTGTTGACTTTCCTGTGTGTACTGGAGAGTGGCTTGAAATGTACCTCTGCCCTTTTGAAATCAAGACTACAATCTTGATAAGTTAGAGTATCAACTTTCAGCTCCTTTGAAATGTCTTTTAATATTTCAAGGGCTAGGCATTCATTTTGATTAGCAAGTTAGCGAGTTCCGAGGACATGTGCCTCCTCGAGGTCTGGGGCCAATAGCAGTGAGTGAATGAGTCACCAGGGGATAATGCCCTGAGAACCCTTGATGGCTCCCTCCGTGAAACCCCCACCCCCTCCCCATATGGCAGCAACTCCGTTGCAGGTTGACCTGAGTTGCTTGGCTGTTTCCACTGGGACTTGGCACAGCACCGTTGGGGCTCCATCCAGCCCTGTGCTGTTTCCCTGTTTCTGGGTGGCTCTCGTCACTCTTTTATAAGTCATCCTGCACCTGCATCACACCCCTGTTATCCTCACGGTGGCTGTCGGTGACTGTCATCCTCACGCCCCTGTCACTGTCACCATCCATCCCCTAGAGCTTCCATCTTGTGGCTCCTCTCTGTTCTCGGCCCCCATTCCCCTTCCACCCCCTCACCTGCTCCATTTCCGCCTGGCCAGGTCCTGCTTCACTGGGTGTTTTAGGCAACACTAAGGGTGCAAAAGCCCAAGGACCTTAACAGGAGTGAGCTCTGTCAGAAACCTGTGAAATGAGTCTGAGTGGGAATGGCCCTGAATGCCAGGATAGGAGCCAGGCCAGACCTCCGTCCTCTGAACTGCCTGATTGCCTGGTGAGACAGCCCCCACATCAGAGTTGCCTGGGATGTATGTCAAAATGCAGGCTTCTGGTCTCCATCTCAAACCTACTGAGTTAAATATTGAGCGAGGACTCTGGAATGCACAGCTTATTCCATAACTGGGACTGGTTCTTAGGAACACCAAAGTTTAAGACACACCATCTTAGCGCCTGACATTGCAGGGCTGCAAGAAGCCCAGAGATGCCACCTGCAGGGATCTAGGCTATGGGCGAGCCGGCTGAGCACCAAGTGGACTCGATGTTGGGCCCAGACCTACCGCAGTCTGCAGCTGTCCGTTACTCCAGTGCCTGGTTGGTGGCAGTTGAGCACCGCTGGTGCCCACAGAGGTGAGCTGTGTCCTGGTCCTTTCTGCTTTCGGACCTCAGGTGCAGGGAGACAGAATTGCCATCTTTAATTTCATCTCTGGTGGCCCAAGTCCATGTTCCTGCCA